TTATTTGTTTGTACATGTGTGCATATATATGACTATGTGTGTGTGTACACGTGTGTGCATATGTATGAATGTGTGTGTGTACATGTGTGTATATGTATGCCTCTGTGTGTGTGTGTGCATGTGTACATATGTATGCCTGTGTGTGTGTGTACATGTGTGCATATGTATGCCTGTGTGTGTGTACATGTGTACATATGTATGCCTCTGTGTGTGTGTACATGTGTGCATATGTATGCCTGTGTGTGTGTGTGTACACGTGTGTGCGTATGTATGCCTGTGTGTGTGTACATGTGTACATATGTATGCCTGTGTGTGTGTACATGTGTACATATGTATGCCTGTGTGTGTGTACATGTGTACATATGTATGCCTGTGTGTGTGTACATGTGTACATATGTATGCCTGTGTGTGTGTACATGTGTACATATGTATGCCTGTGTGTGTGTACATGTGTACATATGTATGCCTGTGTGTGTGTACATGTGTACATATGTATGCCTGTGTGTGTGTACATGTGTACATATGTATGCCTGTGTGTGTGTACATGTGTACATATGTATGCCTGTGTGTGTGTACATGTGTACATATGTATGCCTGTGTGTGTGTGTGTCCACGTGTGTGTGTATGTATGTCTGTGTGTGTGTGTGTACACGTGTGTGTGTATGTATGACTGTGTGTGTGTGTGTTGTGCTCCCATCTCCACAGGAGCGGGCAGCAGCGGGCATCATAAGTGTAACAGTGCCAAACACCGCATCATCTCACCGAAGGTGGAGCCACGGGCTGGGGGCTACGGGGGCCACTCGGAGGTGCAACACAATGACGTGTCAGAAGGCAAGCACGAACCCAGCCATGGCAGGAGCACAAGCCGGGAAAAGAGGAATGGCAAGGTGGCCAAGCCAGCGCTGCTACACCAGAACAGCACGGAGGTCTCCTCCACCAATCAGGTGGAGGTCCCTGACACCACCCAGAGCTCCCCGGTGTCCATCAGCAGCGGACTCAACAGCGACCCAGACATGGTAGACAGCCCAGTTGTCACAGGTGTGTCCAGCATGGCGGTGGCCTCTGTGATGGGGGGACTGTCCCAAAGTGCCACAGTGTTCATGTCTGAGGTCACTAATGAGGCTGTGTACACCATGTCCCCCACCGCCGGCCCCAACCACCACCTCCTCTCGCCCGATGCCTCTCAGGGCCTTGTCCTGGCTGTAAGTTCCGACGGCCACAAGTTTGCCTTCCCCACCACGGGCAGCTCAGACAGCCTGTCCATGCTGCCCGGCAATGTGTCCGAAGAGCTGGTCCTCTCCACCACCCTTGATGGTGGCCGGAAGATTCCAGAAACCACCATGAACTTTGACCCCGACTGTTTCCTCAATAATCCAAAGCAGGGCCAGACATACGGGGGTGGGGGCCTAAAAACTGAGATGGTTAGCACCAATATCCGGCACTCGCCGCCTTCGGAGAGGGGCTTTGGCTTCACCAGCGTTCTCACCAAGGAGATCAAGACCGAAGACACCTCCTTTGAGCAGCAGATGGCCAAAGAGGCGGCATATTCCTCCTCAGCGGTAGCTGCAGCGTCCAGTTCCCTTACCCTGACCGCAGGATCCGGCCTCCTGCCTTCCGGTGGTGGCCTGAGTCCCAGCACGACCCTTGAACAGATGGACTTCAGTGCCATAGACTCCAACAAGGACTACGCGTCTAGCTTCAGCCAGACGGGCCACAGCCCCCACATCCACCAGACCCCCTCCCCCAGCTTCTTCCTGCAGGATGCCAGCAAACCCCTTCCCCTCGAGCAGAATACCCACAGCAGCCTGAGCGACTCTGGGGCCACCTTTGTGATGCCCACGGTGAAAACGGAGGCCTCATCCCAAACCAGCTCTTGCAGTGGCCATGTGGAAACGCGGATAGAGTCTACTTCCTCCCTGCACCTCATGCAATTCCAGGCCAACTTCCAGGCCATGACAGCAGAAGGGGAGGTTACCATGGAGACCTCGCAGGCAGCTGAAGGGAGTGAGGTCCTCCTCAAGTCTGGGGAGCTGCAGGCCTGTGGCTCTGAGCACTACCTGCAACCAGAGACCAACGGGGTGATCCGCAGTGCAGGTGTCCCCATCCTCCCGAGCAATGTGGTGCAGGGACTCTACCCAGTGGCCCAGCCCAGCCTGGGCAACACCTCTAATATGGAGCTCAGCCTGGACCACTTTGACATCTCCTTCAGCAATCAGTTCTCAGACCTGATCAATGACTTCATCTCTGTAGAGGGGGGCAGTGGTGCAATCTACGGGCACCAACTGGTGTCGGGGGACAGTGCTGCACTCTCGCAGTCAGAAGATGGGGCGCGTGCACCCTTCACCCAGGCGGAGATGTGTATTCCCTGCTGCAGCCCCCAACAGGGCAGCCTGCAGCTGAGCAGCGCCGAGGGCGGGGCTGGCACCATGGCCTACATGCATGTCGCCGAGGTAGTCTCGGCTGCCTCCGCCCAGGGCACTCTGGGTTTGCTGCAGCAGAGCGGACGGGTGTTCATGGTGACTGACTACTCCCCAGAGTGGTCTTACCCAGAGGTAAGCTTCAGGTGCAACCACACCACACGCCGCCCTAGCGCCCACCTCACCTGTGCCATGGCGCAGCCTGGGAAGCTTGTTTGCATGTGGCCATTTGGATGGAGCTGTGGCCGGAGACACAAAGCTGTTCCCTCCCATGGTGGCCCTCAGACTTTACTGTAGCAAGGAGTTTTCCAGTCAGGGTTCTCCCAAGGAGGCAAGTTGCTTCCCAGCTCTGACCAGAGCAATCTGCTGTGTTCTGGCCACAACCTTGGCTTTTCTTTCTTTTATCTTTTCTTCCCTCACATTTTGTCCCCTGCCAACATCGGAGTCATGGGGTTATCACTCCCTGTGGCTCAAGCTCAACTTCACCAAAGCAAATGGGGAGCTTCCCACCAAAGGTGACAGGGAGGGTGCAACTTTGGAACACTCCACCATCTACCAAATCAGCATGATATATGGCCCAGGATCCAGCCTGCGCACCCCTCACCAAGGGCTGATTTCCCAGAAGCTGACCTTAGAGACTGCTGCTCCAAAAACACTGTAGGAATACCCAGGTCTTGCCTCAGGAACACTAAAATAGAATGGGCTAGGACGGGGACAGTGTGGCTCTAGACCTCCTAAACACCTTGATTGCATGAGGCAGAGCTTGAAAATCTGCTGGCCATGCCAGCGCTTCCTCTGTATCAGACATTTTACCCCAGGGGTGACTGCCCATAACTCTTGGTCCCCTGGCCACAGGCAGGGGACCAAGGCAGGGACTAGGTTTGTCTGTCCTCTCCCCTGGCAAAGCCAACAGGTCAGAAAGGCATCAGAGTCAAAAAACCCCAGGTCAGAAAGGCATCAGAGTGACCCAGGCTGCAGCCCAGCCTCTGGACCCGCAGCCTGGAAAGCTGGCCCATAGCTAGTAGGCAGAACACCTGTTGCCCATGAGTCTCTCGAGTGTCCACAGGATGGTGATAGAAGCAGTAAGACCACTATGGTAGGGAGAATGGCCAGGAGCGTGGGGCAGGAACTGGCTGACTGATCTAGTGTGAAGCTTGGTTCTGCTCTTGTACTCAGTTGACCTTGGAGAAACTGCCACCTTCTCCGTCTCTAAAATAGCAGCCATGAAGGAACTGGAGAGATGGCTCAGCGATTAAGATCACCAGCTGCTCTTCCAGAGGACCCAGGTTCAATTCCCAGTAACCACGCAGAAGCTGACAACTCTCTTTAACTCTAGTCCCAGGAGATTTGAACACCTTCTTCTAGCCCATTCAGGCAACAGGCACACATGTGGCACACAAACACCATGCAGGCAAACCGCCCATACACATTAAAAAAATAATAAAATTAAAAAACGGAAAGCAGCAAAGGGACCTTGAGTCTCTGAAGACTGACAAAGACAGCCCTGCCTGCCTCCACTCTGCCACACTCCAGCCCCTCGGTAGGCACCCAGAAGGATCCCACTGGGCTTCCTCTTGGTATGTCTCACCTTTCACCCTGCTCTCCTGAACATACATCTTTGTACCTCCTACTGTTCTCACACCTAGAGACCCACTGGGTAGCCTCCTCCAGGAGGCTTGGGGAAACCGTTTAGAGGGATCAGGGAGGAGAGATGAGACTATCGTGTATTCTGGGAAGGTCCTATCTGCCTTCTGACCCTCTGGGCCCCAGTTCCCTTGTCTACGCAGAAAAGAGACTGGACATGACACTGCTATGTCTTAGGACTTGGGAGAACAGCCCTCATACAAGCCTATAGGCACACGGCATGCTGCAGGCCACGAATATCACCTGGCAGGCAGGATGGCCTTGTTCCCTGGCCTGAGAGTGTGCGCCCAGCCCAGCACTCCAGCCCCTGCTGAGATGAGGTCCCCTGCAATCCTGGCACCCTCAGTTCTATGCAGCCTTCGACTGGCTCCAGAAGGCCGTCAGTTCAGCAGATCGCCACCAGAGGGCAGTCCAGGATGGCAAATGCAAGAGTAGTCAGGGATGTCCAACCCTGATTTTCCAGAAACCCTCATAATTCCTGGCACCCTGGAATGGAAGCAAAGCAGAATCAATTTGATTAGAGGAAAAAGCCAATTTTGTGCCTAACAGGACCTCATGGTGAAGCCTCCGAGGTGGCTTCCTCCTTGCCAGGCTCTCCTACCCAAGACACTCTCCCCAGGCCCATAGCGTGGTCACCCAGTTCTGTAAGAAGGCAGAACTTCCCTCCTGATACTGTCCCCCCTCACAAACCCCTTGTGGGCATGATTTCCAGGTGTCGTGCCTTCTTTCTCTGCCAGCTGATAAGTTTGAAGTGTGCCAACTCCTACCCCCCCCAACTTCCAACTCCTACCCCATCACTATGACAGGGCAAGCTCAGGGAGAACTCTCTGGCAAGCCCTGTAGCTGGGACCTCGGTTTAAGTCACAAAGACGGAGTCAGGCTATATGGTCTCTTGGCATACCACCCCCACCAGCTCTAAACCTCAGTGGTTCCCAGGCATGTCATGCCTAACCTGGCCTACTGGCTCTTTTCTGAGTGTGCGTCCTCCTGCTTCTGCTCCCGTGTCTCCTACAATACCCACTTGGTCACCTCTCAGCCAGTCCCCAATACACACACAGACACACACACAGACACACACAGACACACCACAAAAAACAGAGTGAACACACAATATATGCATACTATATACATCTCACCCAGAATACAAGGCACACACTATGCCCCACTACACCCAGCACATACGCTACACCACACCACACACATAGAAAACACACACACACACACACACACACACACACACACACACAACACCGAGGCTCTCTGTGCCTCAGCATCTGTACAGGGTACGTTGGAACTCAAGGCCCTTCATCTCAGGCCTCACAGGACATAGACCGCAGACAGCACCCCCCCACCCCCCCCCCCTGCATCATCTTATGCCACTAGCCCCTGCTACACCAGGCAGAAGAGGCTGCAATTAGAACTGTCAGGCACCCACACATCACAAATGATTCAGTGCAGCCAGGCGAGTGGTTGCCATGGGAACGGTCCCTGGAACTGATGGATGCTGAGGCTTCCTGCGGCAGTTGCCATGGAGAAGGTCTTGATGTTCTCCAGTCATCTCCGCAGTTCTTTGTCCCTCACAGCAGCCCCGAGCCACGCTAGCAGCCGTGGACTGCGGTTATTAGGGCCATTAGGGGCCCCCTCACGTGGTAACTGTCTGTGACCTTCTGAAGCCAGTGTTCTGCCATTTCCTGGGGTTCATGGTTGGACCAGGCTCGGGGCAGGACGTCACACCCAGGCAGCCACTTCCAACTCCTACACCATCACTATGACAGGGCCCTGAATCGACTTTATGGAGCTGTTGGGAAAAGAGAGGCAGCTAAAACCACAGTCATCAGAGGGACTGGGCTGCTTGCCCGAGGTCACGCAGTTACCAGAACAGACGTGGGAGCTGGGGATAAGGTTCAGCAGCTAAGAGCACTGGCTCCTCTTGCAGGGGGTCCTGGGTTCAATTCTCAGGACCTGCGTGGTGGCTCACAACCATCTGTAACTCCAGTTCCAGGGGATCCAATGCCCTCTTCTGACCTCTGAGGGCACCGAGCACACACATGGTACACAGGCATACATGCAGGCAAAAATATACACATGAATAATCCAAGATGGAGGGGAGTTCTGGTTTTGGAATTCTGTCTTGAGCTCTCTCCACTGCCTCCAAATCTTGGTGACACTACAGTTAGCTAGACATCCCCACCCAGAGGAAGGTTTGTTTGCCAGCACAAGAGGGTACCTTCCGGCCAAGGGCAATTCTTCTGGCTCTGGGCCACACATAGCCCCAGAACACCACACCACCATGGTAAACAACACCTGCTGCTGCTTATGCCCAAGGCCTAAGTCTGGGTTCCAAGGAACATTGGGGGGGGGGCTTGAGAGCAAAGATGGGTATGAAGTTTGGAGCTCCCTCTGGGCAGGGACAGGCAAGGGTTAAGGGGAGCAGGTGAGAATGAGAGAATGAAGAGGAGACAAGGTCTAATAGCAGCAGAGGGCAAGGGCCTGGCTTGGAGCCGTGGGGAGGTCAGGGCTCACTGCAGCAGCTCCTAAGGTGGCCTCAGCCTTGCTTCAGCTCCTGGAGCGCCTCTCAGCCTTCTCTAGCCAGGCCACCAGGTGGCGCTCTTCACTCTGGCCAGCACAGCTCTCCGCCCCCCTGCAGGAAAAGGTGTTTACTTGTTTGGGGGTGGGGTGGATGAGCCTCTAGGGTGGGTCTATCCAAGGTTAGCCAGGAGAGCCAGAGGCCAGCGCCCCTGCCCTCTGCATCCCTGGGCAGAGCATCCTTCCTCCCGAATGACCAGCCTCTCTTCTTGGCTAAGCCGTAAGTAGGGGACCTCTAGCCTCTACCTGGGGCTCTGGAGAGAGACAGAGAGGAGGTGCCATTAATCACAAACGGGAACAATGGCCCTGAATGGGTTTTCCTGGGAGCAGCCACATGAGGCTGCTTGTTTTGGGGCATTCCCGCTGGCCAGAGCAGGTTAGGGAGGGCCGAGCCTTTCTGATCCTGTCTCACCCGGCACCCTGGGTCTGTGAAGACAGTTTTCCATGCACTGGAGCTGAGGAAGGTCTACTGAGGTCCTGGCCAGGCTTCCAGGCTGCTGCCTGCATGTGTGGTGCAGGAGTGCCAGCGAGGGGCCGTTCTTCGTGTCTACATAGCTCGAGGCACCCTGAGCGACACAGCAGGCCTCAGCTCAGTCTGAGGGCTGTCTCTGAATTCTGACTGCTTCACTCCATTTTCTCTCGGTGTTCTTGACCCCACCCACTTCCTGGGCTGCTCCCCTTGCCATCTCCTACCACACCCTGGGGGTCCTGGGCTTCCCTTCAGTTTCCTGCAGGAACATCTGTCCCTTGTGGGGGTAAGGGGGACGACCACGCTGTTTTCAAATCTGAGTCCCCGCCACCTCTCCCTATATGCATGACTGAAAGTCTCCTGTGTCCTCCCTGCTTCTCCTGGGAACCCTGCTGGCTGGTTCCCAGGTTCATCAATGGGCTAAAGTGGCAATGAGAAGTCTTGCTTGCAGCTAATGCCATGGAACCCTGAGGTACACAGGACGGTGTCAGGGTGCTGGGTGCCAGCTGAGGAAGGCCTCTGGGGGTCAGGACAGCTGCAGGCCTTTCTTCTAGAAGGGATGTCTCGGAAGTCAACTTATTGGGCTGCCGGGTACGGCTGGGAATCCGCATGCTTAGCCGGCGGTCCTCCCTCTCCTGCTAAGCCTGCCGCTGCAGGGGCCTCCCCTGTGCAGCGTCCTCTCCCCTGTGGCACTGCTCCATCTCTGTTCTCTCTCTACAGGGAGGAGTGAAGGTCCTCATCACAGGCCCATGGCAAGAAGCCAGCAATAATTACAGTTGCCTGTTTGACCAGATCTCCGTGCCCGCATCCCTGATTCAGCCTGGGGTGTTGCGTTGCTACTGCCCAGGTGAGGAGGCTGTGCCCATGGGGGGACGGGGGAGGGGACAGACAGAACGGGGAGAGTAGACTCTGAGTTAGCCTTGGGATGACCTTGAGCAAGTCATGTCTTTAGCCTGCTTTCCTCAGCCGTGAGGAAGTGTGCCCACACGGTCTATTGCATCATCCGTTGGGGCTCAGGAACCCTGGGAACAACTCAGCTGGGAACACCAGGCATGCTCAATAGGGATTGTGAAGAGAACATAGCAAAGGGGCTATTTAAAGACCCAATTAGTCAGGTGACATAGCCAAGATGGCCCCAGCTGGGGCGGAGCCAAGGTGACAGACAAGATCTGGTCTACTGCAGGGCTGACCTTACTCCTGCCTCAGCCCAGCCCAACCTGATGCAAGGGCAAGGGAGCTCTGGACCACATATTCACAGTACTAGTCCTGTCTGGAGCACAGAGCAGGTCAGGGAAGCCTTCCACGTGTAGGGACTGTGGGCAACTGGGTGGCACACTAAGAATAAGGAACACAAGCTCCTCTGAAAGATTCACCCAGGGGAAAGGGTGAGCACACATAACTTGTTTCTGGTTTCAAGGCCTCAGAGACTCATGGGAAGCCAGTCAGAGCCCTAAGCCCTCTCCCTCCCTCACCCCAGGCTCCAGCATCATTTAATTCATGAGGTCCTCAGAACCCCTGTTTACCTGACAAGTTTCTAAGGGAGCTTGGACATCCATCCAAGCATGTAAAATTAGTAAATAAGTCAGACACTGATAACAAACCATAAAGAAATTTACTTTAAGACAATTATTTGGTATTCATATAATTTTATCACCTGCTAAAGATGAAATCAAATTAGCATACAACAAAATGGATGGATTTGTTTATTTTTCCACAAAATATTAAATCTTAGCTATTGGGCCAGGCAGTGGTGGCACACACCTTTAATCCCAGTACTCAGGCGGATCTCTGTGACTTTGAAGCCAGCCTGGTCTACAGAGCAAGTTCCAGGACAGCCAGGGCTACATAGGAAAATCCTGTCCTTGGGGAAAAAAATCTTGGCTATTTGATACTAAAGGGCATAGAACATCTTCAATATATTCCAGTTGGTCAATATCTTGATTTTATAATCAATGCTGAGGATGCCAATTTACATAAATATGTGGAACAAAAAGGTAGACATTTGCTTAAGACCACTTTAGAAATTAGTAGAAGCTCCATCCTAATCCCAAACCAAAATTCATTTAATGATTTTTTAAATGAAACTAATCAGCAACTCAAAAATCAACCTCTAAAAGCAAACATTCTAGTATAACACCATCCAAATGGTCTAATTTGATATTTACATGCTGAGAAATGACAGGAAATATTTAGTCTCTGTTTTTAGTAATTAAGCTGTGTTTCTGTCAGTGCAGAGAACTTGGTATGTTCAGTAAAGTCCCAGATCAATGCTGAGGTGTCTCAGGCAGTGTTTGCTGGTGACATGTGCCAGGACAGCCATGCAGAATAAACCACTCGTTATGTGTTCAGAACCAAGTATAGTAAAGTCACTCAACCCAACGTGCACAAGGACTGTCAGGAGCAGCTAGGAGTCACTATGCATTTATGTTGAATTTTTGGTTATTGAATGTTTAGAAACCTTTTACTGTTGCCAGATGTCTTCTCCCTGTGCCATTCCAGTTGACAACACCCCAGAGTATCACGACCCACAATTTAGGGAGCTGTGATCTACTTAGATTGGCTAACTTACCCTTGACCTCTGACCATATCTACTTCCCGATGAGCCTGCGGGCCCCATGAAGGCAGAAGATTGTGTCTTTCTTAGTCACTGTTGTGTCCCCAAGGCTAGCAAAGCACCTTAGGGTACTGGAGGTCTGTGAGGGAGTAACTGAATCTCCAAGAGTTTGAAAGCAGTTTGGAAAAACGTGAGCTTCCCGTTTGCTTGGGTGAGACTGGGGAAATCCTTGTCTCAGCCTCCCACATCACCAGCTGGGTGGACAGCTTGTCCACCTATTCCAGGCAAGGAACAGGAGAGGCAGAACAAAGAGATGAGTGGGGGAAAGGGAGAGGGACTTCCTACACTGTCTGAGGGACAACCTACACTGAGGGACTTCCTACACTGTCTGAGGGACGTCCTACACTGTCTGAGGGACGTCCTACACTGTCTGAGGGACGTCCTACACTGTCTGAGGGACGTCCTACACTGTCTGAGGGACGTCCTACACTGTCTGAGGGACGTCCTACACTGTCTGAGGGACGTCCTACACTGTCTGAGGGACGTCCTACACACACTGAGGGACTTCCTACACTGTCTGAGGGACGTCCTACACTGTCTGATGAACTTGTCTGAGGGACAACCTACACTGTCTGAGGAACTTCCTACACTGTCTGAGGGACAACCTACACTGTCTGAGGGACGTCCTACACTGTCTGAGGGACAACCTACACTGTCTGAGGGACTTCCTACACTGTCTGAGGGACTTCCTACACTGTCTGAGGGACTTCCTACACTGACTGAGGGACTTCCTACACTGTCTGAGGGACATGCTACACTGTCTGAGGGACTTCCTACATGTCTGAGGGACGTCCTACACTGTCTGAGGGACTTCCTACATGTCTGAGGGACGTCCTACACTGTCTGAGGGATGTCCTACACTGTCTGAGGAACTTCCTACTTTGTCTGAGGGACTTCCTACACTGAGGGACGTCCTACATGTCTGAGGGACTTCCTACATGTCTGAGGGACATCCTACACTGTCTGAGGGACTTCCTACACTGTCTGAGGGACATCCTACACTGTCTGAGGGACTTCCTACACTGTCTGAGGGACTTCCTACTTTGTCTGAGGGACGTCCTACACTGAGGGACGTCCTACACTGTCTGAAGCCAGAGAGCTTGTGAAAGAGAGGTGCTTCTATCAGAGGGCCACGATGGGGATGGAAAATAGGTACCTAGCAGGCTGACCAGGGCTGTGCAGGCCAATAGGGATCCCCAACACTCCCCTGTGGTCTCCTCAGTGCCTGCCTGTTTTCCTCCCCCTTGTCCCCTGTGTGACACTCTGGTGCTTACAAACCAACCATTCCTCCTCCTCCTCCACTTCTGCCTTCTCTCTCCTGCCCTCTCTCCCCACCTTTTCTCATCTCTCTCCTCACCCCTTCTCCCCGCCCCATTTGCCTTCCTCTGTAACCCACTGGATCAAAAATGCCCTGCTTCAGGGGGGTTGGCATCAAATGCTCAGCTCAGTCTAGTTCCTCCTTCACCCCATACGCCTCAGGCAGCCAAGACTGGCACCTATAGAAGCCCCCCCCCACCCCACCCAGTGCTCACCAGCTCCAAAGCTGTCTCCAGAGGGCCTACCCAGCCCCAGGTCCTCCCAACAACCCTGCTGAAATTGGACAGCAGCCATCCAGATGGCTACCCTGGGCCAAGACAGCCCATCCCAGCACAGAAGAGAGGGCGGCATGCTATTAAACTGTCCACTGTGCACCTGCTGTGGAAGGAGCCTTGCCTGGCCTATAAATAGATGCAGCTTCCTGTACCTGGCTAAATCCCTAGACCTTGCCTCAGGCTCCTGACAAAGGACTGGCTTTGTATGACCTCTGCATCCCAGGTCAGGACCCAGAGGATTCTGGGAGCTAGACTCAATCCCACCCAGCTATGTCCTGGTCAGTCACATGCCATCTGTGTAACTTCACCTTGGATACTGGTGTCTCTGAACCTTGGTCTTTAGAGACTTCTTCCAGATGGCTAGAAGCATGATATGATGAAGGGTCATGAAGCTCTTGCCTCTAGTGCCCCTCTCACAAAGGCAGAGGGGAGGAAACCGGGGCTATTCCGGTCTCTTTAGGTATTCTCCTGACCTCACTGCACTTCTGGGTCCCAGTGCTAATATACAGAGTCCACCCAGGCCTCTTTGCCTAGTTACTGGGACACTTCTAAAGTATCCTGTCTCCAACCAGATACTGCAAAACTAGAGAGTGAGTGCCATGGTCTGACAGCTGGGCACCTCCTGTTGGCAGCCAACCTCACAGAGCATGTCCTGTGAGGATGTATCAGTTTTAACATCCACATTGAAACGGGTCCTGTTGGGTGTATTGATTGGTTGATTCACTCATTCATTATTTCATCATTTTCAAATCTTCTGCTTGCCATGGATTGAGGGATGCCTAGACTGAAGCCCCTAAGGGTACCTGACTCAAAGAGCTTCTACTCCAAAGAGGCTGGGTCAAGTCAACCTACTGCATCCTTGGGAGGTGGTGCAGCTGCTAGGGATGTCACCTGGGGTCTCACAGAGGAAACTGAAGTTGGTCTTAAAGGAGAAACACCAGACACTAGAACCGAACTGACCTTGCCAACGAAAAGGGTCTCAAAGGCAGGTGAACACAAGCCAGGCCACCTTAGAGGCTGAGGTTGGAAGGGAGAGAAGGTCCAAAGAACACAGATGCCAACGGCCTGGCAGCCTGGTGCACTTGCCTGGGCAAAACCAAACCTGACAGAGAACAGAATTCCTCCACGTTCACACTACCACTGCAATAGTGGACACTGGGATTGGGATTGTCCTGAGCCCAGGGGCAGTCAGTCAAGTCAGGCTACCAAGCAGGGGTGGTACAGGGGATGAGAGGTAAACAGTGGAGGGGTCTACCAAGATGTCTGCTAGCTTGCCAGCCCCGTCCGGACTCCTAGGAAGTCATCAGAAGGCAGAAGATGAAACTCCAAGTGAGCAGAACCCATGTTAAGACAGCTCACTTTGCAGAGTTGTGGATGGTTAGAATAGGATCTTGATATTGACAGGCACTGAGTGTGAAGGTCTGAACTGACAGTCTCGGCTGCTGGGGGCCGACGCTGCTACAGGAGACAGAAAGTAACAAATGAGCCAAGAGATGCAATAAGGCAAGTGGAGAGGATGTACACAGTAGCAATCCCTTCTCAGACATGGGAGGCACACCCCCCGGAGGCCGGCAGGAGAGGGATGGCACCAAGCCAGTCTCAGAAAGGGTGGAAGAAAGTGTCACAACAGGAAGACGATGAGGGGAGCACAGAGGCCCTGAGGCAGGGAGAGGTTTGGCAAATTGGAGTACAACAGGAAGACGATGAGGGGAGCACAGAGGCCCTGAGGCAGGGAGAGGGTTGGCAAATAGCAGACTAATTTAATGGTACTTGCATGGGAAGTCATTGTTTTTAGGCACCTGAGTGATTTGTTCTAAATCATGTATTTAAAAGATGTTTTAAAGATGGGTGTGCTAGCACCTACCTTTAATCCCAATACTGGGATGGGGTGAGGGGTGCAGAGGCAGGTGGGTCTCTTAGTTTAAGGCCAGTCTGATCTACATGGTGAATTCCAGGTTGGCCAAGGCTATATAGTAAGACCCTGTCTTAAAAAAAAAAAAAATTATTCTGGGAGAATGGGTTAAGAGGAACAGTAACCTACATGGGAAAGCCAGGGGCACAGGGCTAAGGGTAACCTTTAAAGAAGAAGACTCCCCTGGTAACTAACCTCTTCTAAGGGTTCTGCAAGACAACCTCCCACAAGATAGCCTCCCCAAGACAGCCCGCCCCCCACATTGTTGCCTTCAGCAGGAGGCCCTAGTGTCAGCACAGGCAAGGTATGGTTGTTGACAAGAGCCAAGGAGACAGAGGAATGAATGGGGCCAGGAACTGCTGATTGGTTTTCTGTGGGAGAGAGGAAGTCAAGGAAGCTGGGCCTGACACCTTCCACACGGTGGCAGGGCGCCCTGTACTGTATCTCTGAGGTTGTGGAGATGCCCTAGAGTCTGCAGCATTCATTAGTGCTGTGAGTTGTATTCATGTCAGGACAGTGGCCAACAGCCTTCCACTGGGACCCTGGACACCAGAGACTACAGCTTCCCCACCTTGAGAGTAGAGCTGCTCTGTGGAATCACAGCCCTTCCTTCCTGTTGGTAAACCAGGCACGTCTGTAGGAGAGAATAGTAACCACGATCTTGGAGTTTTGCCCAGGGATGTAGTCTGATGGCAGAAGACTCTGGATACAGTTGGGGATCCCTGTCCAGAGAAACGCCATGGGAGGTCCTACATGACCCGCACTACCATGGAGCCCATCCTTCCCGGTTGGATCCTGCATCAGAGCAGGAAAACCTACTGGTCACACTTGGAGAGTGATTTCCCCAAGACCTGCTTTCCACACACCTCAGCTGGAGAGAGGCCACGGCCGATGAGTTGAGTTTCCCATCGGAATTGGGATCTACAGATGTCCTCTGGGGGAAGCCGGAGCCTCACCCTGTCCGAGGAGCAGCTGACTTGGATGGCTTCCTCATACCCTTAGGATTCTGAAAGCCAAGAGCTCAAACAGTAACACGATCCCTGCGTCCTCCCTGGAAATCCGGCCGGCCGGCTGGGGGTGGCCCTGAGTATTGGTTTCCCAGCTCCAGAAGAGCAGTGTCCAGAAAACATAACCTGACCCCTATTAGGGGAAAAAGCCCTAGCATAGCCACCACTGCCTACAGACATCTCTGGGGGCCACAGTACAGCCCCCAAGATATCAACGGAGACCACAGGACAGCAGCCTCCCCCCCAGCAGAAGTAGGTTCCCACCTCCATCTAGCTTTTCTCCTGCTAATGAGAATATGTTATGCACTTACCCAGCTCATGCAGGAGTCACCAAGCCCCGAGTGTGTGCTAGATTACAAGCCCCTGCTTTCCCAGTCATCAGAAGGCAACACAAGGTTTGCATCTCTGACTCAGTAGCTACCTGGCCAACAGGGGCCACAGTAAGAACCACAGACGGAATGCTGGCTGTCAGCAGAAGGCTGAGGAGCTCCTAAAGCATTGATGATGTCATATGAAATGATTTAGGACACGGCTGCAGGAATAGGCGAAATAAATACAATCCTCAGATGTTCCAACCCTGGGAAGGATGCATGGGGCAAGCCCCCTGTGCTGAGCTCAGGTCCCTTCCCATCTCAGGGAACACAGTTAAAACCACAGCAGCTTGCCAGGTGTGGTGGCACATGCCTTTAATCCCAGGACTCAGGGGTTGAGGCAAGCAGATCTCTGGGAATTTGAGACCAGCCTGATCTACATAGTTCCAGGCAAACCAGGGCTATACATACAATGAGAACCTGTCTCAAAAACAAAACAAACAAACAAACAAAACAAAAAAAAAAACAAGCAGAGGTTCCTCGGGGATCCCAGCCAGATGCCTGCTGAATCTGGAGCCAAGAGTTTTCCCACAAGCGTCACCCTTGGGCCTTATGGGATAGACAGGCATGGGCAGAGTTAATAACTGGTTATTAGCCCTGTAATTGGTTGTTCACTGGAAGAGGGTAATGAGGAGGGGCGCTCACCCTGACCTCTCTCTTTCTGACTTTCAGCCCATGACACGGGTCTTGTGACCCTACAAGTTGCCTTCAACAATCAGATCATCTCCAATTCGGTGGTGTTTGAGTACAAAGCTCGGGCTCTGCCCACACTCCCTTCCTCTCAGCACGACTGGCTGTCACTGGACGGTAAGGATGGTGACGGCGTTCTGTTACTTGTTGGGTGCAGAGGGAGGAGAAGAGTTGGTGTGTAGATGTGAAAAAAGAAGGGTGTCAGGGCCTGGCAAGGGAGGACCACTGAGTCCTCCATCAGACTGTGTAGATGCCATTGGTCAGCCTGTGTCACCCCATCTTAATTCAGCCCCTCTTGGGGACAGATGGAGTTTGTGAGGCTGGCTTGCAGCTGTCACACCTGTCAAGGTGTCCGTGTAGTTAAACAAAGAGCTGTAAGGGCCCCAGCAGCAAATCCAAGCAGCTACTAGGCCCCTTCAATGCTGCTTCTGTATTTCCTACAGGAAGAAGGTTCTAGAGGCATGGCCCAGCCCCACACCTCCTGGACAGGAGAGCAGTGTGGGTGTTGTGGGAGCACCTCAGGCCCAGGCTTTATTCTAATTCAGAGCCCTGGGTCTCCAGGCTGTGTACCTGAGATAACTAGCCATGCCTCCTCCTGAAAGCTTACACTCCCACCACGCCAGCATCGTGGTTGTGCCCTGTACAGCTTCTAAGACAGCACTGGCTCTTGACTGTGGCTGAAAGTATACCACAAAGGAGGTGGTAGAGTTGCTGGCTGTGGAGGGGCAGAGGCCTCCAGAATCAGAGGCCTTGGTCTTGAGTTGATGGATAAGTTTCTTTCACCCAGGGTGCAACAGAGTCTCTTCAGGGAAAAAAAAAATTGGCAAAGACGTTCTGAGGGGTTCCAGGGTAAGAGGCTGCCTGCTTTCCCTACCTGGGCGTGATGCAAGCCCTGGGTAAGGTTGTATAGAGGGTACAAATCCAAGACCTAGGCCTAAGTATCTGGGGAGGTCATAGAGGTCATGGGGTGCCTTTGTTGGAAGCTGCACAGTCCCTGGATGTTGAAGGGCTAAGTACCACTCACACACAGTAACCATGTTGCCTTCTGACTTCAGCCTTCCTCCCATTGGCTGCTGGTTCAGACCCTATATATACAGGTCTTTCTAGAACTCAATGTGTACAGCCCAACCTTATCACTGCCCCTGCTCCCCCCCACCCCCGTCTCCCCTGCCCAGGCCACAGGATGCCTGGCAGCTGCCCTGGCCCATGAACTCTTCGGAGCTATTGCCAGAGGTGGTTTGGGGTCAGCAGGCATCTGCACCCTGGCAGCACTGCCTGGGAGCACCGTGCTGGTCTTGGCAGCAGCATCTGTGGCTGAGGCTGGAGCCAGTATGAGCTGATGACCTGCAGTATGTAACAGAGAAGGGCAGGGAGACCAGGGGCTCCTAGTCAGGAAATCCGGTTTCAGTTTTGTAAATGGGGGATGGAGCAGGAAGCTTCGCAGGAGCTCTGGCTCTCATACAGTGACCCAGTCAGCCTTGCCAGAGTAGAACCCAAGGATGCTGGGACTAGTCTTTCAAGACAGTGGGGTCCTGTCTTGAAAGCAGAGTCTCAGGCTAAGCAATGCCTTCAAGCACACAAAACATCTGCTGGTCCCTGGAAGCCCAGAAAGCCGGGTGTGCCTATTGGTTCTTATTACTAACGGAGGGCAGGGAGGTCTGCTGTGAGAGGAAGTAGCCTGACCACCTCATAACAAGCACACCCCTGGGTCCTGGGCCACATCAAGCCTTTGGGAGGGGACCTACTGCTAAGCTGGGCACCTGCTCCAAGACTGAGTGGTCTCCTCTGTAAGCCTGCAATCTGAAATACCCCCAGCCCCTGGCACACGACAGGAGAGATAGCATCATGACCTGGGGGGCATCTGAGCAACACTGGTTTTGTTATCATTCAGGACCCAGTTAGAACCCTAGCTCCACACATATGGGAGCCGCCCTGAGGGACTCTGGTCCTGCCTTGTTGGGGAAGGCCAGCCTGCTATCCACTAAGGCCCAGAGCACTACTACAGAGGGACCTGGTAGCTTTCCTTTCCCTTTGTTCTTTCAAATAATGGGAGGGGGAGAAGAGGTGGGGTCAGCTGGACTGTGAGACCCCACCCGGCTGAGAATCCGGGAGCATCCCCGTTGCTTCTAGAGCTCCTAGACGAATGTGCATGGTTTGCCCACATTTCTCCCGTCTGAGGGTCCGTGGGGAGGGGAGCAGCTCCGAGATTGCCATGGGCATAATCTGCCCCAGTGCTGGAGACAGCTGAGACAGCCAGTAGGAGGGCGGGGGTCTCTTGGCCGCCTGCCAACCGGCTGGCTTGGCGGTGAGCTTTGTGTGGAGGCAGATGCTGCAGTGGCCGGGCGGTGGTAAGCTTCTTTCTCCCTCCCCTCTCCCCCCTCTCGCGTCTCCGCAGCAGCTCAGTCCCTGCCTCGCCGCGGTCACTGGGCGCCTTCTCCATCACAGCTCACTAGACAGCGGTGGGTGGGGGTGGGGACGGGACGGGACGTGTGTGCAAAGGGGGGGGTGGGGCGGGGAGACTGCAGCACCCAGAGATTTGGGGCAACGCGGGCGGGCAGGAAGCGCGCGCCCTGCACACACTCACTCCCCTTCGAGCGCGCGCGCGCGCGCACGCAACCGCAATGCGGGGTCTTTTCTTCGAGCAGCGACTGGTGACGCGGGTCCCGTGGGGTTCCAGGGCACGCCGCCTGCCGCAGAGCGGCGGGTGTTCATAGGAAGAGTGCGAAGCCCTTCCTAGCTGGGAAAGGGGACCGGGATGCGCAAAATCGCTGGGCTGGCGGGGCTGGTAGCCTTGCTGTCCCTACAGGCTTCGCCCTCCTCCGACTCTGGGGAGCGTTCTTTGCCCCTCCCCTGCCTCAGAGCCGAGGACCATTTGGGGACGAGAATTTCTGCCTTTATCGATTTTAAACAATGGACTTGTTTACCAGACTCAAGGCCAGGCGGGGGCGCCTGGTCCCTCAGCGCAGAGCACTAGCGCGAACCGTGCGCGCTCACGCAGCAGCTGCGGCCCCGCCTTTGTCCTCACAGCAATCTTTGTCTCTGCAGCAGTGTTCGTCCCCACTGCTTCGTCTTTGTCTGCTATGCAGCTTTGGTGTGCGCAGCCCCGCCCAGCAGAAAGCGGTTTTCATCTAGGTGGGGTCCGGTGGCGCAGACACTTTATGTCCCCAAACCTCCGCAGGAGGGAAGGGGCTTACAGAGGGGGAGGCGCAGATGCTGCAGCCGGGTGCCTTGCGGACTGCCACGCCCTCTCAAGACCTAGGGAGTTCTTCAAATCAGTTTCCCCACTGGGCGCTGGGAATAAAGCCCTATCTGCTGAGCGTTTTTCCTTAGTGGAGGAAAAGCCACTTGAAGGCGGAGCAGGCAGGCATCAGCCAGGCTAAGAGGGATGAAAGGTGTATCCCGGGAGGAGCCATCAGAGCGGAGGAAAGCCTCCATCTTTGTCCAGGCTCTGAATACTGCCACTTTCGCCATTTCTACCCGATGTCCAGATCCAGAACAAGTGTCCCAGGTCATTTGCACCCTAGGACCCCCAAGATGGTCAGAACAGTAGGGCCTGCAAAAGGGCCCTGCTCCAGGCTGGAGGGAGGCAAGCCAGCAGGTTTGTTTCTCAGGAAACTGTCTGGGTAGGGCTTCTGAGTCTCCTTGCCTGCCAGGGCTGTACAAAGATCTAAGGCTATCTCAGCTGTATTTGTGTTCATCAGATGATAAGCCCAGGCTACTCACCACTTTAACCCTGGAGCTGAGGACACAGAAGGCAGACACTCTTCTAGACACTGTGGTACCTCTAGGTGGCCTCTGTCCCTGGAAGGGACAGGGGGTGTTTTTTTTTTTTTTTTTTTTTTTTTTTTTTTTCCTTGTAGACATCTGATTCTCCCAAAGGGTGGGCCGGGAAGGTTCATGGGCTCCCTGCCCCCACTCCTAACCCCGCTGTCTCCTTGAACTTCCCTAAGCAGCTTAGGTTGCTGTACTGCTTCTCTGACAGCTGAGAGAACTGGAATGAGACATGGAGGCAGCTCTCCTGGACTGGTCACCTGGACAAGCCTGATGACTTCACCTTAGGGAGGGAGGGACCTTGTTATCTCAGGCAAGGAGGAAGCTGGGGCTAGGAGCTCAAACTTCATTATCCAGGTGCCTGCTTCCCATGCCAGACTCAAGCAGGCTAGAGGTCTCCTGCTGCTCACAGGGCAGAAGAGATTAGACGCCTACCCTCTCCTAGCACCCTGGCTTTGGCCTAGCATCCCGAAGACCCAGACCCTGTCTAGAGAGACAGAAGAAAAGGCAAGGCCTGGCCTCCTAGCTCAGTCTGGTCTGATCTGCCCTCTGTGCAGACAGATGGGAGAGGTGCATCTGTAAACAGGTCTGGCTCTGGCACATGGTTCCCTCCTGGCTGGTTTCTAACTCCTGCCTGTGCCCTCCAGGGCTGGGGGATCACATAGGCATAGATACACTGCATACAATCCCAAGACTACAGGAACCTAGGGATCTAGAGGACCTGTGTGCTGTCTGGCTGTGGCACATGCTCCTGAGAGGCCTCTGGACACTTCTTCACAAGACACACTCTAGGGCCCTCTGATGAGTGGACCCAGGTCCTCCTAGACCAGTCTGTGTTTCCCACTGTCCAGCCCACCTTGCCATCATTCATCCTCATTGGTCCTGCTGGATTACATGAAAGAGAACAGACATGGGTAAGCAGAGACCCAGGACAGTCCAAAGGTGTCATTTCCCCACACGGTGGACAAAGAGACAAAAGTTAATTTTGTGAACCACAGCATAGAATACAATGTTCACAAGAATTTGTTTTTGAATGCTAGTATGGTTAAAGCCTGGAAGCCCCTGTCCTGCTTCTAGGGACACTATAGACTTAACTGTCACCAGAGCTGGCCAGTAAGTAAGCTATGGCCAGTGAGTGGACAAGAACCCCATCTGGAGCTTTCCAGGTCTATCTGGAATGGGCTTTGAGCAAACAGACGCTTATTAGTCTCTGCTTTTGTGTATAGCAGTGACCTTGGGGACACAGGTGGCAGTAGAAATGGTTTCAGTCAGTCTTATCCTAGGGTCTTGGAGCTGAGTGGCAAGATGAGTACCCCCTCTGAGCCCAGCCAGTGTCTTGTTCCAGGTATCTCCTTGCTGTCAGTCCTTCCCGTTCTTCCTAGGGTTCACATCACAGGTTGTGGGGAGCTAGTTTCCTCTGACCAAAAGCAACTGGGGTTGGGAGGGGCATTTATTGGGTTTCTACTTTCAAGTCACCATCCATCATCGAGGGTAGTCCGAGCAGGAACTCAAATCGGAGCTAGAAGCAGAAACCATGTAGGAAGGCTTCTTGCTGGCTTCTGTTTAGTTAGCTCTCTTTGCAGCCCAGAACCACCTGCCCAGGGCATGCTGCTGCCCACGGTGGGCTGGGTGCTCCTACATCAATTATGATATAGTCCTGTATAGGCGGGCCCACAGGCCAGTTTGAACTGGGAAATCCCTTAACTGAGAGCCCCCTCTCAGGTGATGCTAGGCTGTGTCTGGTTGGCAGTTAAAGCCAACTAGAGCAGGGATGCAAGTCTGCCTGCTTGGGCCCTGCCCTCTGTTGCTTGCTCTCTTAGCACTGAGCATGAGAATCATGTCAGCACCCAGATGGAGGAGCATCTGGGCTACTGAGGATCCTAGTCAGCCATCTGTTGCCTCTGTACCTGGGACCAAGGGAAAGTAGCTTCCTGCTGTTTGCATCTGGAGCCACACTAAGTGGGTTTGCACAGAGCTCCTCTCTGTGACTAGAACAAGTCTCCTTGGAGCTGCTTCGCCTTGCCTTCTTGTAACAGTAGCGAATGTGATGTCCTGCGAAAAAGGGTCATTAGGGAAAAGGCCAGCCTCCTTCAGAGGCCAAAGAAACAACCATTGCTACCTCAGCCCAGCTACTTGGGTAGAAAGCAAAGAAGGCATCATGGAGGAAGCCGCATTGTGGACCCGGCTCCCAGCCACAGGGGGATGAGCTGGTGGGAGATAGGCACTGACCCTCCAATGACACCATCAGCAACTCCTCTTTGACCACCGAGTTCTTCTCCTATGGCTCTAAATATAATATGACTATTAGAAATGAATGTCTGAGGTTCAGGGCAGCAGGGCCAGGCTCCCTCAGAGGATGTAAGGAAGAGCTCCCTGTCATTTCCCCCAGTGGCAGATGGCTGTTAACATCCTTTGTCATCCAGTATAATGTGGCAATATAACCCAGGCCCTGCCTCCTCTGTCACACGGTCCTCTTCCTTCTGTGTGTCTCTGTTTTCATGTGAGGAGACTCCTAGTCCACTGTGAACTCAACTTGACTAGTCATCTCTGTAATTTGGCCCTATTTCTAACCAGACCACATGCCCAAGTGCAGATAGGCAGCCCAGCGCACCAGCTCTTGAGGACTTGTGTCCAGAGGCATCCAGAAGAACACTGGTGGTTTGCATGAGATAGCCTCGCTAGTCTCTGACATTTGAATACTTGGTCTTCGGTTGTTGGAGCTGCTCAGGGAGCCTTAGGAAGCAACAGGGGGGCCTTGTTGTAAGAAATGTTACTAGGGATAGACTTGGAGGTTTTTAAAGCCTGTGCTATTTCCAGTGTGCTCTCTGCTTCCTTGTGGTTGAGATGTGAGCTCTCAGCTGTTCTGCCACCATGTCTGCTTGCTGCCACGGTGGTGACGGACTCTTATTCCTCTGGAGCATAAATAAACCCTTGCACGAGTGGCCTTGGTCACGGTGTTGGATCATAGTATCAGAAAAGCAACTAATAGGAACACCCAGTGTGGTCCTTGCCCTCTTCAGCTGTGCTTGAAGACAAATGGAGCAGTAGAGAACACAGAAGCCTCGGGAGGCTTTGTTTTCCATGAGGCTGACTGGATGTGGTGAGGTAATGCAGCAAGGTGCAGCTGTGTACCCAGAAGCCAGTGCTTCCAGCAGTCTGTAAAGGAAGCATGGCCCCACACAATGGTGAGCATTTGTTTTGTGGATGCTGGTATATTCTTGAAGGAAGAAAGCTACTGCTGGGACAAGGACAGAGAAGGCACTGGCATCTAGTTTCTGACACCCACCCCATCCATGTACCATGGGCATGAGGGCCAGTTATAGCCCTGGCCAAGATCACGAGTCCTTCTTGACCACATGACCCTTAGGGCCTAGGATCCCTGCTGATTGGTCCTTCCTCTTTTGAAACCCCTTTGCCCCAATCTCTGGACCTTCACCCTGTCTTTCAGCTCCTTCCAACTTCACTGCCTGTCACTAGCTCCTCCTTCTGGAAAGTTCTGTAGGTGCCTATGTAGCTGGCTTTGTTCTTTCCTTTGCCCACTTTCTCCCAGAACTCAGGCTCAGGCTCTGGCTCACTGTGCCATTTACCAGTGACTTTTTCTCATTGCTATGACGAAGGAAGAATTTTGGTGGTGGTGTGTTGTTGTTGTGGTTGTAATGTGTGGTGTGTGATGGTGGTGTGTGGTGGTGTGTGGTGGTGTGTGGTGGTGTGTGGTGGTGGGGGGTGGGGGGGGGTGAGGGGGGGGGGGGGGGTGTGGTGTGTCGGGGGGTGGTGTGGTGTATGGTGGTGTGTGATGTGTGATGGTGGTGTGTGGTGGTATGGTGTATGGTGGTGTGTGGTGTGTGGTGGTGTGGTGTATGGTGGTGTGTTGTGTGGTGTATGGTGGTGTGGTGGTGTGGTGTGTGATGGTGGTGTGGTGTGAGGTGCGTGGTGTGTGATGGTGGTGTGGTGTGGTGATGTGTGGTATGTGGTGTGTGGTGGTGTATGGTGGTGTGTGGTGTGTGATGGTGGTGTGGTGTGTGGTGTGTGGTGTGTGGTGGTGGTTTCAGGGGATTTCATTCCTTCAGTGTGGGAAAGGCACGCATGGTAGTGAGAGATTAACATGGTGTCCAGTCAGGAAGCAAAGTGCTGAGACCAGTACCGGAGTCAGATATAACATTCAAGGGCTTCCCCCAGCAACCTGTTTCTAGCCAGGTGTGTCTCAAAGGTCTCATAACCTCCCACAAACACAAGAATACAGTGCATTATCGCCACTGGTCAGTATGGCTTCCCAGATCCAGAATTGTCCATTCAGACCCCTCTCGGGCAGCCGCATATGCCCAGTGAGACTCAGACCATTTCCACGTTGTTCTCATTTCCCACCCCTCTTCCTGGCCTTTGTGATGAACCCCAGGAGGATCACTGCCTCCCCCACATGCCAGCTCCAGCCTGTGCCTTTCTCTCCTTTCTCCCCATCCCCAGCACCGCTGTCATGTACCCAAAATAGCTGTGCACGTCCTAGCCCGTCTCCTGGCCTCCTTCCCCCAGGGCCATTCATTCTTCCATCATCCAGTAAATATGTGCTAAGCCTCTGCCGGGTGCCAGGCACTGGTCGAGGCCCCGGGGAGTCTTAATTCTCCCTGGGGTTTATATTCCAGTGGGGAGAAAGAAAACAAAACAAGTTGCAAATAAAAACACCAGCTGGCAATGAGTGCTGAGCAGAAGCCTTGAGCTGGCTGATCTGGGAGAAGGTTCCAGGTACTTTAGGTTGTGGTGTGGGGGGGTGAATGGGGCAAGATGTGAAGGCGAGATGTGTGTGAGGTGGATAGAATTCCACTCACTCTCACTGGAAGAACATACTAGGCACTAAGATTCTCCAGAGCACAGTCCCCAGGAGGTAGGGACTAGCCTGGCATTCTTGCATACCTGAGGAAGAAAAGAGGAAGGTGAGCCAGGGAGGGGCATGCAGGGAGAATCAGCCAGAGAGGCAGCAGTGCCAGCCACATGAGGTCATCATCCAATGTAGAG